TGTAAGACATGCTCTTTTGATACCTTGTAACCCTTTGGTTTTGATTTTTTCAAACCCATGTTCGTTAAGAAAAGTTCGTACTTGCAAGTCATTGTCTAAGACATACTTGTCTCACAGTCAGCACAAATCAAAAGAAACAACTCCAAAAAAATAATAATAATAAACATTTTTTTTATAAAAAATACAGGAGTATGGATAGCATTTCATGGAAGCTGAAATGATTAGAAACTTCAGTGAAGTACCATATGGATAGCATTTCACAAGTATCTATCTTTATTTTCAATGTGAAATATAAATTTGATTTTTCTAAGACAGAATGAGCAACAAAGGAAGAGAAAAATACAAACCACCTCTTTGAGGCGACATTCCCAAATGTGATTGAAAGAGATGATATAATAAAGCAAATATATTGTCTTTATCAAACAAATAATAAGAATCATAATAATGAAAAGATACATGCAGATAGTTGGAGTAAATGGGACACCCAAGTGTGAATATCATTGATACCCCTAGTATCATAAAGTTCACGGGTATTAGTAAATGGAGAATTTGAACAAAAGAAGGGTACTTTGCAACTACCTAGAGTTCGGAAAATTTGAAGCTTTTTTATGGCATGTTTTGAGAGATAAGATTTAAAGATATAAAAAGGTTATCCATACATGACTCCACACTTGACGTCAATATTAGGGGATAAAGTGATTGCAATGTGAGTAAGAACTACCAAAACGGTGATGAGTAACAAGCCAAAATATGAAGATGTAACCAGAAAATAGAGGAAAAGGAGATAATATTAGTAATAAATACTTATCTGTCAAGCTGTTCAAGTTTAAATTAACGATTTTGTTTTTTTCAGTAGCAGGTATCCTATCTTTGATGGATTTCAATGTGACTCCAACATGACAAAAGAAAGTAACTGACCAAATAATGACCAGTAAGAGACTCCCTATGGGGGCTTGCAAGTTGCAGCAAAAAAACAAAGGTTACATTTTACAAAGATATTAATGCAGACTAAAAACAATCTCACACTTGAAACAACATGTTGATCTCATTCTTTCCCAGTAAGAACAACAGGACAAACCAATGCAGTTCACACAAACTAAACTAGTCCAGTAACTAAACTAGTCCAAAAAATATCCATTAACCAATTACAGAGTTTAGTATTAGCATAATGAAGGATCGTGCCCACTACTATACCCAATTCTAACAATAGTAAGCTTCATCGGCTGGAACTCATTCATCCAGTTTGCAATAGACTGAACATTTTCTCAAAAATTTCCACCTGTAAAAGACACTTTCATCTGAATTAAGCAAATCAAGTTAAAAGCATACTTTGTTACAAATCCCTTGGTTGATAATATTATCACATTGTGTCTATGGGGTTGCCATAGTCAAAGATGAGCGAAGATGAAAACAAGCAATAGGCCGAATAATTATCGGACCTCATCCTCAAACCATTTGAGTTATAACAGTCACAAATTATTATTCTAAGAAAAAACCAAATTTCCCCCTTTCTTGTTATCAAGTTAGTCTCAAATGTAATGCATATCAAAATGTACTTGTATTTATGCCTGTGTCAAGTAAAATTTCAGAGAAGAGGGACAAAGGTACTCACTGTCAGGAAAACCACCTTGTCTGTCAAGAAAACCTGATCAAGATACACTGATTGAATTGATGCGAATTGCATGGCAGACAAATTACCCCGTAAAATTAGGTTACCATCACAGAGTTTCAAAACCCTAACACAGCTATTTCTTAGGGCAGAGAAATCGAAGACATATAAGCAAACAATGACCAAATTGTGGGTAGTCTCCATTGATAGAGAAGTCAATATCGAGCTCAGCTGCACTGTGATTGACGGCATAGTGAATCCATGAGTTGATGTGAGAGAAATAGAGATATTCGCGAAAGTCAAACTGGAAGCAGAGCATAAAGAGGGGAGAGAGGGGTTGGCGAAAGATTAGGGCTTGGTCAATGAAGTTGGTGAAGAGACGACGGGTGTCAGAGGGAAAGTCGGAGGGAGGGAAGAGAGGGTACTCGAAGTTGAGAGAGGAGAGAGAGAACCAAAGGTTTCGCCATTTGTGAGAGAGACAGGTGGTTCGAATGGCATCAAGAGTGGGGAGAAATGAGAGGATGAGGAGGAGGATGAAGTCCGGGAAGTCATTCAGGCTAGGAACGGTGGTGGAGGCACTGGCTGTCTCCGCCGCTCGCCGTCAATCTCGAGAGAGAGGTGGGGTAAGAAGAGATAAGGGATTTTTGGATTGGGGATTTTTTGGTTTTTGGAGGGGGGGTTTGAGATTGGGGATTTTTTTGGGTTTGAGATTGGGGATTTTTTTGGGTTTTGGGGGGGGGGTTAAAAAAAAGTGTTGAGAATAAAAAATAATTTTTTTTAGGGTCAGAAATAAAATTTAAATAATAAAATAACGCCGTTTAACTCTTACCCACAAAGCTTTACGACCCCCCACCATCACTAGTAAATGTCTTTGCCTGCCATGCAACTCTCTCTCTCTCAACTACACGTTACCCATACATGCTTGGATGATGCCCCTTCCAAAGCCAAACCCTTAATTTCCCTTTTTTTTGGGGTTAAAATTTAAAAAAAGCAATTAAGAGGGAATAAAAAAAAAAAAAAAAACCAAAATCTTTTTTTTTTTGTCACAAATGAAATTTAAATAACAAAACAACACTGTTTAACTTCTTTTTTTTTTTTGCGACGGGGGTTGCCGTCGCCAAAAAACTTTATTTTTTGTTAAAATAATTTTTTTTTTCTAGTTAATGAATTTTTTTTAGTTACTAAGATTGAAAATTTATTTGTTTCATTTTTATTTTAAAGAAAAAAAATATTATTATTTTTTATTTGGTAGAAGTATGAGTAATATTTTAATGAAAAATATTTTCCACTAAAATAAAAATTAATTTTCTGTGGTCAATGAAAAATATTTTTCTATGGCCCATTTTTTTTTTGTTATTAAAAATCATGAACTAATTTTTTGTGGTAGAGGAGAGGGAGCGACAGTAGTGGTGAAGGTGGTAGATAAGAGATGATAGTGGTGGTGGTGGTGGTGGTGATCGCGAAAGAGATTAGTGATGAAGTTGTGGTAGTGGTAAAGTAGATGGAGTGGCAGAGATGAAGGAGATGTAATAGTAGTAGTAGTGACAGTAATGGTAGTGGTGGTAGTGGAGTGGTGACAATGATAATAGTAGTAATAATGGTAGTCGTAGAGGTGAAGTGGCGACAGTGGTAATAATGGTGGTAGTGGAATGGCGTTTGTAGTAGTGGTGAAGGTTGAAAAGGAGATGGGTGGTGAGAGAGAGAGAGAGATGAGTGAGAGACAGATAGAGGGGAGAGAGAGAGAGACAGAGACAAAGTGATGAGCGAGAGGGAGTCAAAGTGGTCGCTAAAAGTGCATTTTCTTGTAGTGGATAGATAAATCGAGATGGAGCTCAGTAAATAGAGAAGACAGAAGGGAGAGAGTGAGCAACGCGAACACAGTGGGGACGAGAGAGAGAGAGACAAAAAGATAAAAAGATAGAGAGTGAGAGACAGAAAAAGAGACAGAGAAAGAAGAGAGATGAACGAGAGAGACGAACGAGAGAGACAGAGAGAAAGAGATAGAGAGAAGAGAGATGAGCGAGAGAGACATAGAGAGAAGAGAGATGAACGAGAGAGACATAGAGAGAAGAGAGATGAGAGAGATAGGAAGAGAAAAGAGATGAGAGACGAGATAGATAAGTGTGAGACACACAGAGAGAGAGAGAGAGAAACAGATAGACAGATAGACAGAGAGAGAAGAGTGATGAGTGAGAGAGAGAAAGAGAAGAGAGAGAGGAAGATGAAAAAATGGGTGAAAAGATATAGACAAAGAGTGAGAAAAAAAAAGAGAAAAGAGATAAACGAGAGAGAGATGAGCGAGAGAGATAAAGAGAAGAGAGATGAGAGAGATAGACAATAGAGAGATAGACGAGAGACACAGAGAGAAAGAGACAGACAGACAGACAGAGAAGAGTGATGAGTGAGAGAGAGGAAAAGAAGAGAGACAGAGACAGAGAGATAGGAAGATGAAAAAATTGGTGAAAAGAGAAATGTTCAAAAGAGTAAGACGACGTCGTTTTTTTTTTTTTGTGACAGAAAAATACCGTTACATTTATTTAAACCATTTTGTGACTATATATATATGAAGTCATCTCAAAGCCACAATATATATATATATATATATTTTTTACTTTTTTTTTGTGTGCAACGGTACCTATTACAGTTGCAAAAAACTCTTCTTCTTTTTTTGCGACTGCAGCTGGTACCGTTGCAAAAACTCTATTTTTTTGCGACAGCAATTTCTGCCGTCGCAAATACTCTATTTTTTGTGACGGCAAACTGTGTCGTCTCAAAAAGTCACATTTTTTGGCGACGGCAAGTTGTGCCGTCTCAAAAGGTCACATTTTTTGCAACGGCAAGTTGTGCCGTCTCAAAAACTCACATTTTTTGGCGACGGCAAGCTGTGCCGTCTCAAAAGGTCACATTTTTTGCGACAGCAAGTTGTGCCGTCGCAAAAAGTTCCGTTTTTTAAGCCCACTTTTCTTGTAGTGTATGGAGGTTTGCCATGCACTTTTGTTTTGTTTTGTTTTTTTTTTTTTTTTTTTTATGTTTTGGCTCTTGTATCCTATGTCTGTGCTTGGTTTCCACTAGCTTAGGAAATTAAATTTCATTGTTTAAAATTCCAATTTGTTCTTTATTGTGTTAGGATTGGTTGGACGTGGGAAAATGCCTCTTTCTTGGAAAATTTGACTGTTAATAACTGATAATTCATGGGGAAGTAATTTTTGTTGTAGGAGTCAATGGCTAGCCTTATTTCACTGTTGTTGTTTTGGTATGCCTTGGGCTTTGGTTTTGCTCTTTTCTATTAATAGGTTTCCCTTTTCTTTTTTCTTTTTTCTTTTTTTTTTTTTGGTATCTTGAAGTACATCTTGTACTTCTATTTATATTATTTTATTTTGCTGGTCAAAAATAAAAATATTTGGAGCATGCAACACTAGCATAAAATAGATAAAATACCATATAAATAAAATAAAATAAAATAGATAGAATAATTTAGCATCATTGGAGAATCCAAATTTAGCATTCCTCACTTGATGTTTATTTATTTATTGGCTGCCGTTAAGGATCATATTTTCACATCACTGGAGAGCCAAAGCTGCCATGATGCCATCTGCATTTCTACAAGTACATTCTCTTCTATCTATGTTTTATCTTCTTTTTGTTCTTTCCCTCTGCATACAGGTTGACATGGTTTGGGATATACTTCTTGTATTTGTTGTTTTATTTCTTAGTTTTGAGTTACAGGATAATTTGTTGGGTCTTTGGGGAAATACGGAACCACAGATAGGAAGTATTCAGTCTCTTATATCACTGGGAAATTATGTGATCTGGCAGAAGCATATTCCAGTGATGATGACATTGTCATGATAAATATAAAAGCATTTGATATTTATTGTGGTTGGATCTTGGTGCAATTGATTGAGATCCCTTAAGTAATCTAAGAACTGAAAAAGGAAAAACTTCCAATTTTGAATCTCCTCAATATGCATATGTGCATATAATTGATTTTAATTCATGGGTGTCTCTTGAGATTTAATATAATTGATTAATTTTTTTTTATTTTTGATAAGTAATATGATTGATGTTTTTCTTCCTTCAAGGGATATAAAATTAGAGCACTTACGAAAATATACGCATTTGAGATGGCAATTGGGAGTAAAGCGGACATGCTACCTGAGGTGGGTTTTTCTGGCACTTTCACCACACGTCTCATACCTTAGCTATCTAAGTTAGTTTCTGTACTTGAGTGGCTGAGTATTTGTGGTGGCATTTACTTCTTGTCCCTTATCTTTATCAGCACCGCCCCATAAAGAAGCAAGGGAAAGTTCTGAGACTTGGGTCAAATATATTTTTACTTAAATTCTTAAAATGAAGTTTAATATGTTGATGCAGCAGTTAAATATGTTTGTGGCTGGTCATGTAGTATTTGAATTCTCTCCTCCACTCTCTCTTTGGTTAGTTTTTTTTTTTTTTTGACACAATAATATTTTGTTGGGAAAAAAGGTGACCATTGGTTCAATAGCAAAATCTTGACTTAATAATCTTGAGGTTGTGTGTTCAAATATCGGAACAACCGCTTTGTGCAGTATACCAAATATTAAGTGTGTACCCAATCTTTTTCTTACCAAACACACATTAATGAGTACTATTTAAGCGGTGTTTTTTTATATTTTGCTGGGGAGGAATTGAACCCATTGTTATGAATGACAGATTGGTATTAAAATGACTGATTAGGGGGTTTGTATGGTTTAAGTATTCCTTTTGCTTCCTCAATTCCTATTCTCATTTGCGTTGCTTTAGTTACTTCAAAATTGTTTCCGATGCTTTCTTGCTTTCTTTCCTTTTGTTTATTGCTTAACATTTTTTTTTTTAAATTCTCTTCCATTGTGATTTTTTGGGAACTTGCAAATGGTTGTTTGCATTTAATGATATTCTTCTCTCACTATACCAATATATAGATGCATATACCTCAAAACTCTTATCATTTCTTTCTTCTCTTATATCAGTATTGAAATTTTGCGAATTGGAGTGTTTGTCAATGGACATTGTTTTGATGTGGATGGATGTGCAGTTGAACTTGTATTGATTGCTCATTGAACTCTTCTGGTAAGAGACAAATCTTTCAGTATTTTTGCAAAGCGCCTAAACTTCTAGTAAATTATTTGATTGCTCATTGAACTCTCCTGTATTGATTGACCACTCGAGAAGGTAATCCTCATAATGATGAAGTCCAATACCTAATCACATATGAAATTATGACCTGTCATTGCCTACGTGTGTAGGCTTGCATTCTTGTCATTGCTTATGTGTGTATAATCATTGCCAATGGCAAATGTTCCAGCTTGAGGAGCAATGGAGAGGGGAGATCAATGGCAGATTGTGACTTGTGAGGACTAAGGAGAGAGATTGAGAGTTACAGTTGATTTTGTGGCTTGTCTTCACTCTTCAATCATCACCATGTAATAATTTCTCCCTTGTTTAGTAGTTTGATCAGTTTGAGTTCATCGGATTATTTAATACCAGATTCATAATGTAACCCGGCCACGAAACTGATCAAAATATATTTATCAATTTATATAATTGATTTTTCCAATATTGGCCGCCATTTTTGTACTTACACATCATCAACGTCACACACTGTACCAATCAAGGATGTATCTCTTTGAACAAAATTATGTCAAAAAAATCTATTTTCTGATGAACTTGCATATTAAATTTTCTTTTGATAGAAACAACCAAGTGAGGAAGAGTTCATCTCCTATCACATTAACCCAATTTCAGAAGCAATACCCGCAAAGAAAAAATGAGTACCAATTAAAAATGCACTCACAATAAATAACGACAATTCTATGCATTGCTCTAGTTCTGATTTGCCGGCTTTTATCTATTACAATGACAGATTGTCTACACTAAACCCTCCATTACCATGCATCAATGCCAAATCAAGACCAACCTTTATTTCCCACCTCTGGAATTGCATCCTCAAACATTGTGTTCAAGCTTCTGCACCATCATAAACCATAGCTGCTGCTTACTCTGATTCAAAAAAGCCACATGCAACGGAGGATGCTGAATATATCTACGCACAACTCATTTGAGTCTCGAAGAAGAGGTATTACTGTCATGTCATGGATGCTTGTTTGGAATGACTCATTGGTCGGTTGCTATTTGAATCTGAATCTTCCCGCCGTTTACATAGCTGCACCATTTAAAATAATGTTCATGGCCGATTCTATTGTGAATATCTAAGCATAATAAATGAACATAAATAAAATAAAAATAAAAGACTAGTAAATATGCTGAATTGCTCACATACAACACAAAATCAAACTTCTAATTATTCAATCAAAAATCTAGAAGACAGGTAAAACAAAGAGGAAGAAGTTGGATTAGGGCAATACAAATTTTAGGTTGCATTTATGAGTACCCTGATAAACATCAACTGTTGGTTAACTGTCAGAGGAAAAAAATGAATAAAATTCTTGCTATTTATGTTAACTGTCGGTTTATATGTTCTCTACTTATGCCGATGGTTACTTCAAGTTAAACCAACATCTAGAGAAACATCAACTTCTTATTGTGACATCATGATGATGACATATACCAGCATATCAACGGAAATTTTGCTAGTGACAAACGCGCCAAGAACAGGACTTTATTACCAGCCATTCTACATTGAAGACATTCATTAAACATTGGTAATAAGTGTTGGGATAAAATTGCCGATGTTTAGTAAACGTCTACTTCAACTATAGTCATCGTTTCGCACAAACATCATGAACATCTTGCCCAACACTTTTTCATACTTAATCCAATGATTCTTAAACATCAACACAGTATCAAGTGATTGCTATCTTGGTTGCTTGATCAAGTTTGGTTTTAGTTTGTATAAGCTCTATTTTTTATTTTTGTTTCCATTTTATTCTCATCTAGCCCACAACCCAGTTTGTGCTTCTACTGCACATTTTTGTTCTGGTAATAAAGTTTACACTCACCAGCCAAAAATAAATAAAAAATTTCATAACCAAGCACTCTTAATTGGTCCTTTCAGTAGTTCAAAACTTCCTTTAATGATAGTTAAAAGTGCATCATAGAAGACATGACTCCAGTTGTAAATCCAAACAAATAAGGACAGTTTGGTGATAAGTTTTGTGCGATAAAATTATTAGGTTTAAAAAAAAAAAAAACCAGGAGCTGCCAATATCAGGTCAAAATTTTTATCTTTCACAGTAATAAACATCAAGTCCCAGATCCTTCTACCTCGTCATAGACCTCAAGATAATTCCAACTCATCATGCACCTTGATCATCCATTTCAGTGTAGTGTAATTGATTTTTCTTTTCTAGTATTGTCTGCCTATTATGTACTTACACATCATTAACATCACATTCAGTACCAATCAAAGAAGGATCTCTTATCATGCCCAATAAATTTGACAGTTTTAACTATCTAGACTAGCTCGGTTGGCATTCTCAACCGGAAGTCAAATAATCAATCATTGCCAATGGCAAATGGGACAACCTAGGTCTTTAACCCGACCTTTAGATATGACTGAACTTCCATAGCTGAGCCTTACATTCAATCCTGAGATTGTTGACTTGAATAGGTGTCAAGTGTTGACTTTTTGGCTTTTGAGTCCTTTGTGCAATTTAAGCACTCTATATTGTTTACATAACTATTTTAGTTGTGTACACATGTTGGTCGAGTTTTGGGTTGCTCCGATGGCTCGGTTTGGGCATTGGGTGGCCAAAACCCTTACTTGTCTGCGAGGAGGTGCAGCCACATGTTGGCCATGTACGACCACACTTTGCAATGTGCAGCCATAGGTGCGGGTGTGTGGACGCAAGTGCGTGAGCAACCCATTTTCCTTCATCTTTCACACTTTTTTTTTTTGTTTTTTCTTTTTTTTAACATTTTCCCTTCTCTATTACTCTTTGGAGCCAAATTGTTGATTTCAAGCAAGCTAGAGGCGAAATGTGTCTTCAACTCAAGGAGTAACATTATAGAACTTTTCTAGGAGCATCTTGTAACTGGTGGAAATTCTCTATTTGTTGAATAATTGGACACCTACACTTGTCAATCTTCTTCTAGAGGTAGTAATTTTCTTGCTTTTGTATGTATGTGTAATTAATACGTGGTATTTTCTTTGTAACTCAACTTATGGAATTATACTCTTTGGAACCATGCTTTTAGTAATCTTATATAACTATGTCTCAAAACTCTTGAATTTCAAACTCATGAGATTATTGACGGATTTTTGTAAAGAATTGAGTTTTGAAACCCTAACTTAGATACAGTCCATTTGAAATCTAATGGAATTACTAAACTTTGAGTTGTGGATGTAATGAATTTATGAAATTACATTGTAGAACTTGTCTAGGAGCATCTTGTAACTGATGGAAATTCTCTATTAGTTGAATAATTGGAAGCCTACACTTGTCAATCTTCTTCTGGAGGTAGTAATTTTCTTGCTTTTGTATGCATGTGTAATATTTTCTTTATAACTCTTTGTTTTGCAAGCTCTTGAGATGATGGATGAATTTTAATAAAATAAAAAAAAAAAATTGAAATGTAAAACCCTAATGTATTATTCTTCAATTTAATTGAATTAATTCCATGGAAAGCTTATAATTGTTCTCAAACAACAATATTTTGTACTAATTCTAGAAAATAGATTTCTTGTCATTCTTTGCAACAAGAAGTTAAGCTTCTGTATATCATCAGTGAATTGGAGAAGTTTACACATCAAAAATGAAATTTTGCTAAGAATAAAACTGAAGAAATTCACTTGGTTATCTTCTTGCTTTTGTATGCATGTGTAATATTTTCTTTATAACTCTTTGTTTTGCAAGCTCTTGAGATGATGGATGAATTTTAATAAAATAAAAAAAAAAAATTGAAATGTAAAACCCTAATTTCATTTCATTGTTCATCAATTTAATTGAATTAATTTCATGGAAAGTATATAATTGTTCTCAAAACAACAATATTTTGTACTAATTCTAGAAAATAGATTTCTTGTCATTCTTTGCAACAAGAAGAAGTTAAGCTTCTGTATATCATCAGTGAATTGGAGAAGTTTATACATATCAAAAATGAAATTTTGCTAAGAATAAAACTGAAGAAATTCATTTGGTTATCTTGGGATTATTGTTGATGAGAAATTGAGAATTGTTAGGAAATTTACATATCTCGAATCAATTTTGTGATTGGAAGTCAATATGTAGGTTGTGTATAGATGTTGGAAATTAAGTTGGCTTGAGGTCCTCGGTGAAAAACCAAAAACTCGCGCAGAGTAGGTACCGATTTTCTTCAGGTTAGTAGTCGGTAAAGAGGAGGTGATTAAGTGGTTTTTGTAATAAACCACTGGTAGATACAGACCTAGAGATCCACTCGGATATAACTTTTTCTTTGAAAATTTGTTTTACCGTTGACGATTGGAAATTGAAAAGCCTGATGTTGTATTGTATCGTTATAGTTATGAGAATAAGATAAATTTGAATTTATGAGATTTAATACACTTGATAATTGGGTTTATTATTAATTTGTTATTATTTTTACAATATCATGATCGTATTCACTAACCTGTTGTGCTTAAACGCCTTATCTATTTAGCCATGTGTGTTATCTGTAAAGGGTTAGACCGTATTTATTTGATTATAGCCCATGGAATTTTATTTATTTATTTATTTGCAAACGATAGAATGTAAGTAAGTTAGATTACAATAAATGGGTCATATAGTCGCTCCATCGACTTGAATCCCGAACATCTAACCTTCTCACTGTCCCAGGGAATAACTACATGAACCACTAGGCCAACTGCCCTATCCACCCATAGGGCATTTGAATGATTTAAATTATATTGTAATTGCAATATCATATGTCTGTTGTTAAACAACCCAAACACACAAACAATGGCATGAAGAAAACAAAACAATCTCACACAAGAAACGACAAAGGGATTTACGTAGTTCGCAAGATTTCCTATGTCCGCGGCTCATACCAGTTTCATTATATTAGAGAGAATGAAAAGAGAATACAATGTGGTACTACAAAAAGCAGCAATATATAGTGCTACTATGGTAGGTTACATCAACAATTACTAAGCTACCCTTAATGCTCACAAAAAAAAATTCGGGGAGAGCCTCCTTGAACCCCCCCATTGGATCGAGGGCCCAATGTCCAATACTATTGGGCTCTACAAACCCCAACAATGTCATGTATAAGAAACTCTGTAATTAATGAATAATGAAACTACAAATGTTTGACGTAAAATCATGGTTTGTATGTTGCATATGACGAAGAGTGGGATTATGGTTTCTTTTGTTATGTCTGTTGTAGTATGACTTCATGTCATCATTGAGATCCCTTCTTCATTTCAGACTATTCCTTAATCTTCTATGATTATGTGGTCTTAATCTCACAAACCTGGATCTTGTAAAACTGGGACGTGATAGAAAAAATTGATTAATTCTCTCCTAGCACTTTGTTGTATTGAGTTGTTTATTTCTTATCATTATGAGCTTTTTTCTTGTGTCAATTGTTACTCTTCTAAATATGTGTTGTAAGACTATGACAATCACTGTCGCTTGTCCTCTTCGAATGCAAACTTTATTCACACTCCGGAAATATAGTAACTTTGGAAGTTATCTACAACCCAAAAAAAAGAAAAAGAAAATATCAACAGAACAATTGGTAAGAAAGATGGGTAGTCAACTAAAGTAACAATTCTTCAGAGGAACTACGTGTTCAATTGGTTGAATCTGGTGAAGCAGATGAAAGCAACTAGGGTAAAAAGAACAGGGAAAAGAAACCTGATGAAGGAGGTAATGGGGATTGGTATAGGAGGACGAGTAAATTAAAAGTCATGGAACCAAGAGGAGTAAAGGTAAAAAGGTGACGTTAAGAGCAGCCCACAGCAGCAACAGTGATGTCACTTACAATTTCATAGAATAGGATATTGAATAGAAATCGAATTATTCTCATTGAAGCAGAAGTGGTGTGGGAGGTGAGAAAGCTTTTGGGGTTGGATGG